TTATTTAATTGTTTACCTACACTGTAGGTTACAGAGGGTATAGCTCCCAATAACGTCAGGACCATGCCTTTCCAGAAGACACCTGGTATCCCGCAAAATATTATTTTATTTTATTTACATTCACATCACCTGCATAAGGACTGACCCACTTTGCAGTGATGATGAAGGCTCCTTGCTGGTCTGAAACCCGCTAAACAACATCCTCACAGTTTGAGCTGTAACTTAAGGCTAAGGTGCAACTCAAAGGATGTTTGGGTACTTTTGATACTTCCCCTATTCTGGAGCTTTGCCATTGACTTCAATAAGGGAAGGACCGGGTCTTGCAGCATATTGTTATTCTGATTTCAAACTAATGCTTCCATGAGACTCGGGGATTCACTTGAACCCACATGAAATATGGTTATTTGTTCCTTGTTTTGCTGAGAAATAGCTGATATTTTTCTGGAAAGCGAGCAAACAGTTGCTTAACAAGCTACTGGACATACAATGGGACTTTTTCTTGCAAGATACTTCTTTAAAAAGAAGCCAGTTTAGATTCAAATCTAAGCAACAGCTTAAAACATCCCCCCTCAACTCCAACCAAGGAAATCTTCATTTTTAAACAGCTGGGGAGGGCACAGGAATTACCGGCCTTCCCAATTTCCAAAGCACCAACTGTAAGTGGAGAGGCCATTACTGTCTACTGTTTGTTCATATTGACTCTCTCCCCCCTGATGACTTACCATTTTCTGACATCCTCACCCTTCATTTTAAAAGAATTAAGCACTCTTTTTTGAACTATTCAATATAACTACCTCTACTTTAGATGTATTGTAAACAGCCAAGTCAATGTGAGAATGAGATCTTAAGACGTAAAATGAGTAATCAGAAGGTAGACGTTTTAAGCAGTTTTACCAAACTTCTATAGTTGCATTTCTGATGAGGATTCACTTTTTTCTTTTGCAGTAATGTCTTCAAGTCCAACAGTTGGCTCCTCCAGCACTTCTTCCATCCTTCCATTCTCCTCTTCCGTCTTTCCTGCTGTCAAACAGAAGAGTGCCTTTGCTCCTGTCATCAGACCCCAAGGGTCTCCTTCTCCTGCCTGCTCTAGCGGCAATGGAAATGGATTTAGAGGTAAGAAACGTACAATTAATATTCAGCCTGGACATGTAAAGAACACTGTGTTAGTCTAGGTAAATACAATAATTATCTGAATACCATTACACCGATATTACAGGACTCAGCAGTGAAAATCTTACCCAATCCAACTGGATTAAAGCAATGCTCCAAGCTTTGTCTATTTGGTTCTAAAACAACAGGGGACAGACACTCATTTATACCAAGAAGGATTTGACCCAGGCTGCATTTCAGTACCAGCTCTTTTGTGAGGAATGACTTCTCCTTAGGCTTCAGGGACTTGTAAAACAAACGTCTGCCCTGCAGAGTTAACACACAGCTCTGTACATAACAGCCAGTGTCTTGAAACCTGCTGCAAGGTTTAGGCTCATACCGGGAATTGAGCCCTATAGTACATTTACAGCCTTTTTAAAGGTGATCTGCAAAACAAATGTGAGTATTAAGATAAGAATGGAAACCTGTACTAAATTCTTTCTTTTAACAGGCTGGGGGGGTGCATGCGGCACATAAATACGCTCCAAGTCTCCATAAAAAACACCTTTATAGGGCCTGAGAAGTCATCTGGCTCCTTCAGACTTCACTAGAGATACCATAGAAAACACAACTCTGGGAATTCAGCCATGCCAAGAGCCAGTGGTAATTCTGAAATGAGCCCTACAAACCGCACCTGTTGATTTGGGTGCATTATAAATCCTTAGCTAGGCCACAGGGACTTACATAAACTGCGATTATTTTATACAATAAGGAAATTCTAAGCGTGTTGAACAAAAGCAATTACATTTTTAAAAGCTAACTTACAGAATTCTGCTATATATCTGAAACAGCTTCTTCCCCTGCCCCAGTTAAACGAAACTCTGTGCTTCTCTAAGATCATCTTCTCCCCGTTAATGAAAGACATTGATCTACCCATGTAAATGCACAGGTATCACGTTGGCAGGGAATATAATTTCTCTTCCGCTCTGTTTAAAGAAGATGAAAAGAAGGATTTGAAGCAATTTTTTAAACTCTAGGTATAGAAGGTTTTGTTGGCCCAAAAATTGTAGCTATTTACCCAAACTGTTTAGAAATGGGTTTATCTTTGTTAACTGTTGTATGCTTATGGTGTCTAAAGAGTCATCATCACTACCTGGTCTGCAGTTAACTTCTTTCCTTCTTTTTTTTTTTTGGCTGGGGGGAAGGGTGTGTTCTTTGTATCAGCTAATGAAGGGATGTATTGATTTCACTGCCTTTTTATAAAAAATGAGAGGGTTTAGCTGTTTTAAGGAACTGTTCCAAGGTAATGTAATTTTAAACTGATTTAGTTAAACATTTAACGAGGAAGGCCTATCAACTTAAGAACAGTTTGCTTGTTTAGCATAAGCTGGTTGGACAGTGCTATAATCTAGAGACAAATCAGTGTGTTCAGAATAGATTTAAGTCTGCTTTAAAGTTAAACTTGTCTAACTGCTGTGTTGAGAAGGCCTAATTGTTAAGAAGTTACCTAAGGTAGTGCTAACCACAAATCAGTTCAGTGAGAAAATGACTCGGATTGTTTCTGGGAGACAGAAAAAGGACAGTTTGGAAAAAACACTTTTTATTTAAGTTAATACTTTTCCTTAACCTACCATGTCTGTCCTGTCTGCTCAAGACTCTGCTTAGCAAGAGTTTATCTCTTTTTTAACCCTTTCGTAAACAGGTAAAGTCCTAGTGACAATTTGGTGCCATTTAGTGTTTACAACATATTTTATCCAATCCATAAATTAGTAATCAAGAAGAGATTCTAAAAATGGAACTTTAATATTAAGTATAACATAAAATCTCAAAGCTAAAAACCCAGTCCTCACATCCATGCATTTTTACTGACAAAAGTCCACCCCTGAGGCGTTCAGGATTAATCTATCAATTAAGGTTATGATTTACTTACTGAAATAGCTTATGCATATAGAGATACAGAGACTTGGGCATGGGTAAACCGATACAAAAGTTATTAACTATATCCATTTCTTTGTGGGATATCTCCTTTGTACATCAACACCCTGATACATAAATATAGTAATACGCTACAAGTGTTATTTAAGTAAGTAAGTTTTCAGCAGATACAGTACCTAGTACAACGGGACTTGTCAGTCAGACTGCAACAACAAGCAACAACAGATGTGACTCCCAGCAAAGGTAGTAGGTGCTTCGCAGAGACGAACATGTCTGCCCAAGGTTTGTTAGGCCAGGTCTTTGTAACTATTTAACTATTTCAGCTGTAGATGCAAATTCTTTCCAACTGAAATATTTAAATTGATGCAAGCTGGGGAGCACATGCTTTGGAAAGGATCCAGATACACACAGCCTGATATCCAAATTAACGTTCCCACAGTGCTGACAGACAGATGTGGCCAGAAAGTCAACAGGAGGGTCCCAAAGAGGCTTCTTGAATGGACTTACTGTGCTGCAGCAATGGGAGACTGTTAATCTCCTCTGCTATGCCATCGCCCTGTACTATAAACTAAGAATTAGACGTGCTGGTAATGCAATTTATTTATTTATTTACTTATCAAACTTAGGCATCAGTAAATACTGATGGAGGTAGAATAGCAAAAGCACAGAGCAAGCAGTAAGTATAGGCAGGCTCCTTCCCAAAGCACATCAGGCAAGTGTTTTGACATTACCTCTCAATTTCCCCACCCATAATATGGGGAAAACATCTCCCCAACGGGGATTTTTTGAGCTTTAATGTAATGCTTGCAATGTACTTTGGCTACATCTTTTGTTCGAAGGCAAAAGTTTCCTGGTGATACAGTCTCCATCCTACTTGCTGCCTCCTGTTGCAATGAGAATATTAGAAATACTACCAGCGCCTCAGGGCATGCCACTCTGCTTACAAGCAGCGATGAAAATCTAGAATATAGCTTCCGCGTACATTAACCACAGCAGTGTTTAAGCCTGGATTAAAACTAGTCTAAACAGAAGGAGCTGTACAAGCTTCATCCTCAGATCAGCATTCCCATTATTCCAGGCAGTTTACAGTACCGCTGGAAATTTTTTTCCAAAAATGTATTTTGGGAAGAAAGTCTTGGTGATGCTTAAAAGCTGCTGGAGACAGGAGGACAGCTGCTAGAAAATATATTGTAACTGAAAAGTATTAGCTAAGCATGAAACTTGCATATCTACTGGCTTTCAGCTTTGGGCTGCACAACACAGCCAAGACATGCGGAATACCCTCAGATAACCCCCCATGCCATGTGTTCTTGCTTACCTCTTTCACCTGCCATCTGCTATACATTCTTACAGTGTAACAGGACATGATAGGTAGAGAACAAGCAGCAATCCATACTGGACACCACTCACTTCTATATGCTCTCCAAATTGAGAGCAGGTGATCCTGATCAGAACAATTGTGTGCTCCATTCATGTCATATGTCAAGGCAGTTTAAAAAAGGCACTGGGAAGATACAATGTGACGTGACGCAACACAGCATGATAAGTACACAAACGCCTAATCAACTCATCTCAGATGGAAGGCAGCTGATGGGAAAAGCAAGCAAATTGGAAACTGCTGGAACAGCATGGACCGCTGACTGCCCAGATTACCTTTGGCCAGCTCAGCACATCTCAACATAAAAATGCAAGCTCAGTTACAAGGAATAGCAGGCAAGCCCCAGAAGGTCAGATGTTCCATTAACCATCAGGATCCTAGCCAATCTAAAAGGTATCGAAGTCTGACACCCTTAGGAACAGCCTCAATTTAGCAAAGGGGACATCTGCACTATTCCCTAAAGAAATACAGGTATTTGAGTTGAAGGCCCTAATTATTAGTATCTTGTCTTGACAAACTTAGGGGTGTCAACAGCTCTGGAGATTCCAGTCCCCTTGCATTAAAAGGCTGTGCAAACAGGTAATGAGAAAAATAGTTGCTCTGAAAAGTTTGTAAGGGGTGGGATTCAGATGAAATGGCTGGCTCACATTTACAAAGCAACGGTTCCTGATTGTTACCAGTCCAGCGCCTGACCTGCTGTTCCATGTTGAAGCCTAGCTCCAGTCAACACTTAAGACACAGCATTTTAAAATAACTCTTAACAGAGATTCTAACCAGGTAAAAATAACTGGGCCCTTTCCATGCTAGGAATGATCAGCAATATGCTTCTGCCTGAATCAGAATGATTCCAGAGCCTAGACAGTGATTTAAGTATGCCAAAGGCCGCAAATGATATCTACATGATGTCAATATATACGAAAAATATGTATCTGTCATCTGATTAAATTTGATATATTGGAAAGATCAAGTACATTTTTCTCCCCGGTTTATTGGCAGAGATGTAAGTGGCACAGACTGCTTCAAAATAAAGAAAACCTTGAGAGAGGTTTAAACCTTCTTGCTAACTACTAAACAAAAATATCTCCTGTTACTATTAATTACTTATCTTTCATTTGATGGGATGTTAATTTTAGTAGCTCATCATATATCACAGACTTATTCAGGCTAGACAAGAGCTCCACTTTTAATGGGAGAAAACAAAAATCTGCCTTTTTTAATGGAAGAAAATATTCAAGACTGTTAGGTGTCACACGCAAAAAAGAAGATATTGGGTAAGATTCAATATTGTCTTCTCCTTTGCAGGTGAAAACTTAGCCACTTTCTAGTATAACTGGAAAAATATATAACTGCAGAGTGGCTATACATTCCTGTGCTCTTTAATAATTAAACTAATGCATATGTGACTTTGCAAACACATATTTTGATTTTAAGGGTGTTCCTAATTAATTTGAACTAAATCAGAATAATTGTTCAGGCAGCCTTTTGGGCATATACAGCTTAGCACCACGGTGAGATAGTAACTACATCAACGCAACTCAATAGATGAGGCCAAAATAACTTCTCTGTCTCTTAGCTATCAATGGTTTTGTCTAGATTTTTTTAAAAACATGTTACATAAAATATGGTTTGACCTGCTTATCATCTAAAAGAGACAAAGACACTTAGTTATAAATATCTCACCTGTCTGTGGTTAGATGATCATGAATGGATAAATGAAAATCTTCCATCCAAATACAGAAGGATTTCTAAAAAAAAAAAAAAAAAAAAGTGTTAATTTCCTATGGAAGAAAAAGTAACAAGAAATTCTTTAGGAAAAACTTGAAGCTTTTCGCTATGTTTTAGTATGTTAGTTGGAACCATCCTTCACAGGTTCTTTGCAGAAGCTGTAATTTAGGTCACTCTCACATTCTAGTATAAAGGATGATGGTGCCCTTCATCCAAGCCACTGATGTTTTCTGCTAAATGAAAGCCAGCTGTGTTTTCCTCTGAAAACCCTTTCTTTTCTCTACCATTTTCAGTTACGAGTTACATAATAAATGATAGGTAATAAACGGGTGCATTGTTTTACAAATGTCTCCATGGTCTTAATATTGAAAGTAAAACTGCACATTTTCTAGTGGTAGGCATGATGGGAGTCAGAGATATCAATGAGATGAAGCCTGCAGGTATAAGTTGCACCTTTATTAGGCCAAATTACACAGAAGCTAGCTCTGCTACCAACAGCTCGGTGGCTTGCAATGCGCAAACCTACCTTTATATACAGGACAGCTCACGCAGAGAGATGTTTCCGGCATTGCAGGGTAGGAACATTCACTTAAGATGCTCAGAGTAGCACCACTGGAGCACTTCACTTGCCTCTTCAGAGAGCTGCAGAACCGTAAGATTGGAGTTTGCTGGGAACTTAGTGGCAAAAGAGGAAAACCAAATGAGAGCGCAAGACGTTTTACACGACAGCAACTGAAAGTGCTCCACACCCATCTTCTCTAGAAAGCACAGTTTTTAAACCAGGTCATGACTGAGACACCAACAAAGCACCTGTGGTATCTGAAGAACTAGATCAGTGTGTGTGCACGCATGCGTACATTCATACAGCACCGAGCCCCTTTCCGGTTCTTACCAAATGGCTGTTTGAATTGCAGAGAGTTCTTTTCCCCTACAAAGCAAGGCAGCGTTTTCAGGGGCCACTTGTATACACTGGGCTTATGATCATTATTAATTACACCCATTAAAGGTGCCTATCACCATAGCATCTGGGTACTATCCATGTTTGATTATTTATTTACAAAAAAATTCTCCAACCTTGTGACAATTTTAATCAAGTGTTTCAGTTGATAATTGCAAGCTGTCAAGGTTAATACAATAAGGCTCATCTCTAATTCTTTTTCCATTTCCCTCCAAGAAAAAAACAAAGACCCTCTGGGATAATGACTGTGGTTTCTATATTCCCAGCTCATCAGGGAGTGTCCTGCATTGAACCACCTTTATTGAAAAGTTACATCGATTCAATATATAGTAATACAGGCAAAAATAATTACAGCTTTGCTAGCAGTGTAAGACCTTAATCCAAACCTCACAAACATTCAATAAAAAGCGATACAGGCTGGGAATAGGCTTTTGACAGTGCAGCCCCAAAGGGGAGTGGAGGTGGGGTGGAAATGGACAGATGAGGGTATGTAAAAAGAGAGAGAGAACCACAGAGCAAAGCCATTTAGATGCGCTGTGGAAAACCAGGAGGAGAGGATGCCAGCCAATATTCCTCAGCCTACTTGTTCTTTGTAGCAGAAGGAGGTGAAGTTGCAACATTAGGATGAAATGCCAGTGAAACAATTAATTAGGCTTTGCTCGCCCTTCCTATGTTATGTTCTAGTTTTACCTGAATTTGTCCACTGGCAGGCTCCATCCTAACAACTTCTGAGGAGTATCTCTGCTCTGGAGCACTTACAGCCTGGATGGAATGACAAAACAGACTTGGGCGGGGGGGGGGGGGGGTCAGCCTACTTGTTCTTTGTAGCAGAAGGAGGTGAAGTTGCAACATTAGGATGAAATGCCAGTGAAACAATTAATTAGGCTTTGCTCGCCCTTCCTATGTTATGTTCTAGTTTTACCTGAATATTTGTCCACGCAGGCTCCATCCTAACAACTTCTGAGGAGTATCTCTGCTCTGGAGCACTTACAGCCTGGGGAAACAAAACAGACTTGGGGGGGGGGGCAAAAGGAAGGAGAGGAAAGCAGGGACTTGCTACTTGCTCAGGAGGAAAGGAAAGGAGGCACAGGAGGGATCACCAGAACCCCAGGGGTAACAACATACTCCTCCTGATTGCAGATGGCAGTTTTGCTCTTGCCATCACTAGTTTGAGTCCAGGACTGCTTGATAACATAATATCTATCTTCAATTATACAGTAAAAATGTACTTTCTCTTCAATTTAAGGAACTTTCCAAAATGCTGCATCTACAAGTATTCTTAAAATATTTTTGAAGAGACATGGCAGAAACTCCGGCTTGTCTTTGCTTTGGTCTGCTGGAAGAAGTTTTCCTTGATTAAAAAAAAATGAAAATAACGTTGATAACAATAGTACCAGAAAAAAGCATTTATGCCAATATGGCCTATCCCCCTTGGGAACAGCGTGCAAACTACACTGGCAACAGAGCCTGCATGTCTCAAATTAAACCACGCTAGCTATACCAGGGTCTGCTGCCTCTCTGCACAGACAATCTAAACAGCCACAGAGGGAGTCTGGCTCTGGCTATGCCAGGAGAAAAGAGCACCGCAGGTACGGCCCGGCCGGGTGCAGTCTGCGTAAACGCTCCTTTATTTGCTTCGGGCAAAAGACCCAGCTGGGTTACCTTAGACAAACAGTTTAAATTCTTTGAGCTAACCTGGATGATTTTGCCTGAAGCAGATTAGGAAGCGCTCACACAGACTGCTCCATTGGGATACCTGTGGGATGGCGGTGAGCAGCTGAGGGCACACGCTTTTACCTCTTCTGCCAGCCCAGCAGCGTCTAGAGCAGGGCATCAATCCAAGACACAAATCCAGTTTTCTTTTCTAGAGGACAGAAAGGCAGGCGTGTGGTTAATACACAGGGAGAAGGCTCTCTGGTGTCAGGCTGGGACACTACCGTTAGGATCATTTTTTGCGTTTGGGGGTGAGGAGAAGGAAAGGAGCAGCCTCCTTAGTGTTATCAGAAAATCTCTCTTCTAATGCGCCGTGCCCTGCCCCGCCCCCCCAAGAAACAGGCATACAAATATTTACCTACTTTATATAGGGTTAGGTAAATTGCCTGTTTGAAAATCTGTTTGAAAAATAATAGCAAATTCCCAAGCAATTAAAAAAAGTAGATATTTGACTTCAGACTGTTCGGTTTCACTTTCTCTTTCAGCTATCTGCCAAAATTGGCAGGGACTTCCAGGCCTAGTCAGTTACAAAATATGAAAATATTTATTTTCCTATGTATTAAATCATAGACCATATCCGCAGTTGTTTAAAGTCAACACAGCTCCAATAAAAGAGTCATGTTAGCTGAGGATCTTGCCCTAAGCGTTTTTTTAAACACTATGAACATAAGGGTGAAATTAATTCTCAGAGGACAGGGCTTTAAACACATGAATAATCCCACAAACTTCAGTGAACATAAATCTTTGCAGGATTAGGACCGTGCACTGCACTGAGGCCCCTTTGAAAATATGACTCACTCATTTGTTATATAAATACGTATAAACTTAACTTACCCCTCAAAACCTTTGGGAACAGCACCAGTTCCAGGCAGCTTCAAATGTTGCTGTTGTCAGTTATGAAGAATATAGCTGCAATTAAAGGCAGTGAGAGTGACTAATAAATAATTTACATAAGCCCAGTGTTCTGGGAATGTGCCAGGTAAGACTACAGTGATTCAGACATATGGGGTAAACCAAGCGAGAAAGAGAGGCTGGGCCATTATTTCCACCAAAACTAAATTAGCAAACTCTAGCTCTCTGGTCATTGTCCAGTGAATCGGGACTTGTAATTCTCTGGCTAGGTCCCGTAAGCAGTGCACGGGCGAATTCCCGTTTGCTTTCACATCTTTCCTCCCTCACAACATAACCCTTTCTGCAAGCAAACGAGCAGGCTGAGTGGGAAGCGAAGACCCTGCTCCATTCTGGTTTTCAAGAATGATTTTGAGTGTTCAACCTGAGAAAGCATGAGAAGTCTGAATTTTTTGGGACAGTTCTGAGCAATGTCCATCTCCAAGGACATCTCTCGGGAGACAAGCACCCAAAAATGGTCAGGCAGTTCTGAAAATTCACTTACTGAGACTTGAATTAATCCTCTGTCTCCTTTATCCATTTAAGAACCACAATGGGCCTTGGCTTTTGGTGAATTTACTATGAAATAGGACATTGTCTGTTGTCTGTGGTCGTTGTCAGTCTCACCGTCTTAGTTCTCACTAAAGCGTAAATCATTAAAAGAAACTGAAGGTCTAGTTTAACCTGCAAATAAGGCCATTGCTGCAATACACGACTGCAGACAGAAGGGTGAAGGGCTCAAATGTATTTTGTTCCATAAGAATTTGCCAGAACTTCATCTTTGTCAATTTTCTTTTTCAGCCATGACTGGTCTTGTCGTTCCCCCGATGTAAGGGAGAGGCAGCTTTGCTCCTCTCCCTCTTCCCTTTTTTCCTCTTTTTTTTTTCATTTTTCTTTTACAGCACAAAACTACTTATTGTGATGGACCACTAAAAAGAAAAAAATAGCACTACAAGCTCTTTTTTGGGGGAAAGCCAGGCCCAGGAAAAAAAAGGAACATTTTTTATGGATTGGACGAGATAGAAGTCTGCATCTTTTACCTGTTTCATATTTCTGACACAACCACGTCAACTCCTAAAACATTGTGAATGAAGAATCAGCCAAGAGCCAGGATGAACAACGGTTGGCAGAACGGAACCAGAAATGCAAAGTCTTTCTTGAAAGACATGAAATCTTCCTAAGATTTGTAAAATATTAAAAGGAGAAAGAAATTGGCAAAATGATTCAAGCTTGATATTTTGGATACAATTTGTTTTACTTTGTAGGGGAAAAAAGTTGAAGTTTCTATTTTCTATGGAGCCTTTCAGATATCGATTTAGTTTATGCAGAAAAAAAATTCAACAAAACAGGGTACCAGCATGAAAGAATTTCTAGGACAAACTGACATGAATGATGGAACTTTGGTGTATGTGTGTATTTGCTTATAGTTTAACCTCTTTAAAAAATGTAAGATGTTTTACAATTATTTAAATAAATAAACTTGAAAATTATTGTATGTAGAAGTAGAAATTAAACCCTTTTTTGGATTTTTTCCTCCAGTTGTACAATGAAGAAAAATGATGCAAAAATGTAGTGATAAGTTTGAGATATATTATTACTGCTGCAATTGCTCCTCACTTCTTCCCTCTTACTCAATTCATGTGCAAGGATGTATAGGATTCTTTCTGATTAACGAAATCATCAGAAACTTTTACATACGTTGTGGTATACAGGTGACTAATTCATGTAGGAATTTTCATCCTCCTCATCTTTCCCCCTTCCATCTTTTGTTTCAATTAAACTATTCAGGTACTAAGATGAACTGGTAAGTTTCAAAGACCCTGCTGGCAAATGAGCGGCACTTAGGGATTTGAACAAATCAGATTTTTCATAAGGTACTGAGTTTATTTTCTAGATTCAATGTATGAATTCGGAGGGAAAGGGTTCTCTAACATACTGTTTTTCCATGTAGTTAGAACACCTTAAGTTCAGTTATACTTCATATTAAGGGTGCATTTATAAAGGGTAAATATGTATTTGAATAATTTATGCACTTTTATCCTGAGTCATTAAAAATGGTAAGTATTTTCCATTTATATATTGAAGTTCATAGAAGTAATCAATTGCTTTGAATTTTTCTGCATTTTAGCATAAAAAAAAGTTTAGTTCTCCTTTGCATCTCCTCTCCTGAAATTGGAAGGTGAGAACAAGTCTGATAAAAAAAATCACTAGTTATCTGACTACACCAGAGAGCACTCAAAAGAACGTGATTGTTGAAAAGCCATTTTTAGAGAAAAAAAATCAGCTACACTACTTACACCCCACTAAAATACACACGATTCATAGCTGCACGAACAGTTGTTCCTATGACAACATCTTTATGTTAATAAATAAACCCTTAATATACAGCCCCTGAAACTGTACTTGTCCATTTGCCCAGTAGTTTTATCGATGGGTAAGTAAAATAGTGTTCTTGGTGATCCTTATATATGGTAGAAGACGTTCAGTTCAGCACTAGACTCAGGATGGTGAACAACTGTGACGGCTTGCATGGCTGAGGCAATTTGGAGCTTAATTGGAGCTATTGTGGAGCTAATCTGGATTAGTAATAGACTAGAAAGCCTCTATCTAGATCCATGGGTCAAACCCAGCTGCAATGATCGGTGCCTAAGAGGCTCGGTGGTGTGTGTGGTACGTGACTCGATAGACCCTCACCTAATGGACAGGCTTTTGGCACAGGACTGCATTTTGCAAACACGTAAAATCATTCCTTTAAACAGCCCAGTGCAGGAAAGCTGCGCCTGCCTGCGCGCCTGCTTCTGGCGCAGGCTGCATGAGAGTAGGTCCTCCTTGACGCTCCATTTTCATAGTGTAGCGTACCGTTCGGCTTATGAGAGAAATGTATTTAATATACGTGAAGATTTACAGGATGTGTTTCGTAACCAGAACGCAGCACAGCAGAGAGGCCAGGGGACTGGAAAGACAAAGACACTGGGCTACTCCTGTCATTCCTACAGGCGATACACGTGGTGGGAAGCAGCTGTGTACTCCTGACTGTGCTGTGAGGTTTTGGTAGGGGCTTCATTAGGTGACTTTTCAATGCTATTGAATTCATTTTTTAAAAGGTGGAGGGGGTTTACTGTCTTCTAAAACTCAAGGCCCAACTTATTACATCAGGAAAAATGGCAATTAGAAGCAGCTTTAAAGAGAGATTTGATGGGAATAATGTGTTTTTAAGAAGCATGAATATAGTTAATCAGGGTCTTACAGTCAGGTTACTGACTGTGTCTACATTCCAGAAAAGATGAAATAAAATAACTCACCATTAATTATGGTTGTGAGTTCATTGACACCGCAGGGTCTTTGCGTGCCCTTCGTGCCGTCAAGGAAGTAGCAATCACTGGAGGTCAGCGAGGCAGCCAACCTTGAAGCCGAGTGATCTCTGAAACAGGAAAGAATCACAGGTGTTGAGAAGTCTGGAGTTGTAACCGTGTACTGCTGTACACTCACCTTTGAGAACACAACAGGGCGCACCGTCTAACCTGATTGTTGTTATTCAGAACAAAAAAACAACAAAAAAGCATTTCATGCAGTCATGGGTACCGATATCCCAGCAAGGCTAAGAGCGGGAGGTACAAATTCACGTTCGGAATTCTGCACGCGTACAGGAAAAAAAGTAGATTGAGGGTTATTAGAGTTGGGATTGAGACTTCCATAAATTTCAGTGAATACTATGTTGAGTCCTAGATTAAAAAAAAAAAAAAATCTTGATGGACCAGGCTCATTTCTGATATATTATTATCTCCTTTCCCCCATTTTGAACTGCTAAAAAACCCCAAACAGCTCCAAAGCATAAAGACGGTGGATTTCCCCACACCCCCCCACCCTTCTCTTTTCAGGCTTAA